TATATTACACTAATATAAGAGGTGTGAAAACCCAACCTTTTGGGTTTTGGAGTAATAATATTATATGTATTTAYAAAATAACTRTTATAAATCTCGCATTCTAATTGGCTGGGAGCGYGTGCTTTATGAGAGCACACAGCATGCAYGCGCCCTTTACACTTTATAAAAGAAATAAAAAATTTGCTTGCTGTGCTGTGTGGAGCTATAAAGCAAAAGTGTTGAGAAGCACTCCAATACGTCCCATGCTTCTCCTAACACTTCTCTCGTGTTCTGCCAATCCCCGCGTGCTTTATAACTGCACACAGCACGCGCGCGCGTTTTCTATTTCCTCACATACTTTTATGTGTTTTGCAGATATTCTTGTCATCCCTGATCTTGAAGAAGTGCAAGAAGAAGACATGGCTACACAAATCGCTGCTCCTCCAAGGTTTAGTTCAAAAAGATTAGTAGTATATTGTGCTGTAGATCCGATTATARCGTCGTTGAGTACAGAACCGACTAGTGTTTTAAATTTTCTTTTTGTTGAAAGGTAGAAACGTTTATATAGTATTTATTTTATTATACCATTAAATGTGATACACTACTTTGCCAAAACAAATAAATAATTACTATTAATAATCAAGAATAGGACATGTTCCATATCTAAAAAATTCTTAAATGCAAGGCTTTCGTCATATCACCATTACACTACTTTGCCAACACAAATTTTCCCTTGTTCCAGTTTACTCAAGGGCAAAATATTAGAAATTTGTCGAAATATAAAATTTGACCATGCCATACCATTTTGTCCCCTCTTGGACCTTAAGTCTAACCAAGATAGATCACAGTACTTCATTTATCTAACTTGAATATATTATCTTATTCTATTCCGCAGCGTGCAGGTTAACAGAGTCGCTACATACAAAGAGCTYGACAACTACCTACAAAAACATGCAGCTCTATTTACACTGGTAAGAGACTTGTTATATCTATAAGGGTAATACTTGAGAATGCAGGGAAGGCCGAGTTGTTCCCGACAGGGAAATCGAGCAGTACATTGCCGTCAATAAAAGAGCAGTTTTCGCATGACTGTTAAAAGCTCAGTGTAAGCGTGCCGTGCCGTGACCGTAATTGATTTTTCCCTCACGCAATGTGATTGGCCTGACCCGACAGTGCCGTGACTTGCGTGACCGTGTCCGCGCCGTGTTTATGCCAGGTATTTGATTGGATGGAGAGTAAATTCTCGTGTATTGGTTGGCGTTAGCGTGTCACGATCGTCTTCGTGCCTAGAGCTTTTCATAGTCTCTAGTTTTGTTTTTTTAAGAACGCCAATAGTGATTTTATTTAAACCGTGTGAGAAAAAATGCCACTATTTAGTTAGTAATAGTTTATAAAATACAAAAGTCATAGTCTCTAGTATGTAAAGATACCGCACAGCACAAATTATTTGATTGACAGTAATCTATTCAGCGCCTGATTTCCTATTGGTGCTTTTTACTCTATGAGCACGTAACAATTTTCAAATAATGTTTTTATATCACAGGATGGAGAAATTGACTTGAAGCTGCTTAACAACGTTCTCTCACCAGAATCTGAAGTCTTCGAGGTAAACAAAACGAATAGATGCACCATTGATGCATTGACATTACAAACACTAATATGATATGGAAGGGAAAGACGCATGTTTTGGAATGAAAGAACGCTTTTGGCATTGCAAACTATGGCTAAATTAGAAAATTGAGTTAATCAAACCCTGATTTTTTAGCTAGTTATATCTTCTTATACCCTGACTTAGATCAGCACAGAGGTTGTTTCAGGGTTCAATCTGTGAGTTAGCCATGTCCTGACTTAGATCAGCACAGAGGTTGTCTCAGGGTTCAATCTGTGAGTTAGCCATGTCCTGACTTAGATCAGCCCAGAGGTTGTTTCAGGGTTCTATCTGTGAGTTAGCCATGTCCTGACTTAGATCCGCCCAGAGGTTGTTTCAGGGTTCAATCTGTGAATTAGCCATGTCCTGACTTAGATCAGCCCAGAGGTTGTTTCAGGGTTCAATCTGTGAGTTAGCCGTGCCCAGACTTAAATCAGCACAGAGGTTGTTTCAGGGTTCAATCTGTGAGTTAGCCGTGCCCAGACTTAGATCAGCCAAGAGGTTGTTTCAGGGTTTGATCTGTGAGTTAGCCATGCCCTTTTCACAAGCCCTACGATCCCTAGAAATTGTTCCTAAAATGGTGATGGTATGACGTTTCTATAAACATATTCCAGTCTTCTCACACTACCTCGTCATAATCTTTAATATATTTTATTGGGGCTGGTTTAGGAGGACAAAGCCTGGGACTGGAACCGCTTGTTCACAGAAGTTGCATCAGAACTTCAAACTGAATGGGACAAGGCAGACGAAGCAAAACCGGAATCGACAGCGTAAACCGAACCCGACCATAAAACCACGAACGATGTTATTTATTGAATCCTATGCATGTATATATGTATATCACTAACGCAGTTTTAAGATACTTTAACACCTAAAGACTGGTTTAYTGAATCTGTTATTTGATTGGTTAAAAATATAATGACATTATATTGTTTTTACGTCATATGACATGGTCAATCCAACACACTAGTTTGCTAATGCAAATTTTCTCTTGTTCAAGTTTAGTCAGGGGCGAAATATCAGAAATTTGCTGAATTAATGAGACAAAATGCCATGTTTTGGTCCCTGATTAAGCTGGAACAAAAAAAGTTGCATTAGCAAAGAAGTTATCTTTAATGGCGATCCTAGAAACCACAACSAACATCAACTAAGGCCCCGTCCACACGTATCCGGAAATTTGTGTATCCGCAAAATTTTTTTTTTGCGGATACGAAAATGTTTGCGTCCACACGCAGCGTATTCGAATCGTTTTCAAATCGTTTTCACTGTCCACACCTATCTGGAAATTTCTTGATCCGCCCTGATGCACGCTAGTGCCTAGTCCCTTTGACGGATAGTTTTTCTTATTGAGCATGCGCAAAATCGTGTTTACGTCATCGTATTCGAAAATTTGCGGATACGACCGTCCACACGTATCMGTATTCSGAGCGTATTCGAAAATTTYCACTCTGGAGACCSTTTTCAAAAATTTCCGGATACGGATACAAAAATTTGCGAACACRTGTGGACGGGGCCTAATTGCTTTGGATTGTTTTATTTTCGCTGTCCGATTCGATTTATTTTATTTTATAAGCTTCGCCACAAGGGCAGGGAAACCCCTTAGAGCAAAGCTGCACTACGGCGACCCCAAAAAAAAAAATATATATATATATATATATATATATGAAAGCCTAATTACAACACATACGATCATTGAGAGTACAGATTATACGGCACGAGTGGCATTTAATGCAGATTGATTTGAATGATTGTGGGAGATCAACGTTATAAAAGTGTTTGGTTAATTGCATATAGTGGAGTGAAAAGTTCCCTATTGAAGTGTTTTACTGTTGTAATGTTGCTGAGTCGTACTGGTAGAATGTTCCTAACTCTTGTGGCTCTACAATAGAAGCTGTTTTGGAAAGYTACAGTTCTGCATTTTGGCACATTTAGTAACACGCCATTGGATGTACTTCTGGTGACTCTYCTGGAAGTCTTGATGRAGATATTGGGATCGCTGTTTGAAGTCAGACATTTGTATCGATGGACCAAGCCCAAATATTCAAGCCAGTAGGTTACTGGTAACAGCCCGACCTTACGAAGGCGATCTTTGCAGGTGACCTCTGTTCTCAATGGAAGAGATAGTATGAATTTGGTTACATTGTGAGGATCAGAGAAACTGTTTGCGGGGCGCAGACTTGTGAGCAATAASATTTAAGGTCAAACTCTTCCTAATTTGTCGCAACTTCGTTAACTTGTAGACGATCATTTGAACTTGAAGTACTCTTAAACAAACATCTAATATCGACGAAAATAGAATGTCGACAGGATGGGACAAACGTCATGATATCACTGAGTTGATATAGTAACTCAATCGTGATAAAGTGTATATCATGTGGAAYTCGAATCTATTATTAGACTTGAAGTTTAATAGAGTTTTTGTCAAATTTCTCAGCGTATTTTTAGATGTTTCGAATAT